ATAGATAAAGAATAAAAACCAGTTAGGAAAATACAGAAAAAGTGGTATTTAGATAGGTAATGGAAATATACAGGAATAAAATTATAAAATATAATGGAAAATAATAATTAAAACATTCAAATAAGGTTATAATAGGGAAGAGCCAAAAACTCTGCTCTGTCTGCGATGGAGCAGTAAAGAAAGAGGGGGAGGAGCCTGTTCACTGGAATAATATACTCCCTATTTGCATTTTGATTGGTTTAAATGTTTTCACTTTCTTTACTGCTGTGGAGTTAAGTAAAGAGAGTAATGCAAAATAGGAAGCCTCCTGTCATGTGATAAAATTACCAACCTGTCCTCAAACAATTTATTAATTGTGAACAATCCATATCACAGATACGTTTCCAAATCATTGACTTGGATGACACTCCCTAAAGAGGTGGTGATTGACGTAAAACATTTCTCATAAAGGAGATGTTTTGGATTTACAATCTGATTCTTGAAAGTAAATGAATTAATAGGGAGTTTGATGTACACTATTTCTTTGGAGGCCTATCTATTTTTCAATTTCTCCCATATCATATTATGAACAGTTTTGGGTAAGAAAAAATTGTCCTCTCCCCCCCTGCCCCCCCCACTCTTCCTGTTTTATGTCTGTGGTTTCATGATCTTGTTGTTTTTGCATTTTATTTACATTTGTTGAGAGAATATGAGATGAGAGTGCAGATTTGGTATTATAATATTGTAAGCAATATTATCTATATTTTAGCATAAATTCCACATGTACCTGGTTCACTTAAGCTTTATTTTTTACTTAAATATATACACCTCTGTTTTTATGTCACTTTTTATTAATGCAGTGCATGATTATTACTTATAGCAATCTTTATTGATGCTATCATGTATATAACCTCCATATTTTAATTTTTTCCTATTTTTCGCTGACCAATTATAGCGAACAAGTCATGTTCGCCTTGTTCCTATATGTAATAGTAACCTTATCTCACAAATGGTCATTCACATGTGCACATTCATATGAATTCATGGACAAACTTATACAGACTATTACTGACATTTCGGTACGAAACCACGTTCGCATGACATGTGCATCTCACATATTATGGTTGTTATCGTATCCAGGAAAAGTAAGGGCAATAAAATATTCAAAACGTCAATTCCAGGTGACATTTCTATGGCCTGTAATAGGCTATGTCTACAAAACGATGATGATCCAGATGATGTCACTTCCAGGTAATAAATTAAACTGGAAGTCCTTGAAGTTTTACATTTAAGCCCATAGGAATCCACCATTAACTGCTGAAACTTTTGAACAATCACTGCATTCCTTATATGAACTGAAGCTGCACTCAAGGATATCAAACTTCTGATAAAGCCTTATGGTGAACACATATAGTGTGATTTTATAGATTTATTTCATATTGTTTATTGCTGCTATATTGTACAATTGTATATATTGTATTTTTAATTTATTTTAGATTCTACTATACATTTTGCTGGCTTTCTGATCCAATATATCCCAGGTGGGCAGTATACCACCAATGCTACATATAAATAGGATACTTACCTTCTTCTATGATATAGTGACTATTCATATATACCATTGGTTATTCTCTGTTTTTCGTTTTTGCATATTACGTTACTATCCAAAGAGACACCATCACTACTGCAAAATATATCCTGAGACGTGGATTGTACCATCTATGCTGAATACAGCAGAGCTCTTAGTAGCTCTATAAAGTGTGTGTGTGTTTATCATAAGCCCATTACATAGTTATTTTTGTAATTTTTTACACTTTTGTATGGTTTTTGTTTTCTGATTTCCAATATACTCGGCACTACATAAAAAAGGCCCTCTCTGATATATGTATGTATATATATATATATATATATATATATATATATATGAAACAAGGGTGGGTTGGCTGCACTCACCTGAACATGCATAAATGGGGGTGCTACTGGGGGCCAAATAATACAAAACACAAGATCCAGTGCACTCACCTATCCACTAAACAGCAACTTCAATGTTGAAAGATTTTATTAGTTTTTTTAAAAACACCTAATCTAGGCAAAAATAATGGGGGTTTAGTTACATTATATGATCATACATTGCATAAGCCTGCCACAACGTCAATGTACCCCATCTGTAAGATACCAAAATACCAGAGTATTGCAGTATGCAATGATACCTTTTTTATTGGACTAACATAATATTTCAAAGACAAGCTTTTGAGAGTTCCCTCTCTTCTTTAGGTCTGAAGCAATACAAATCAATTATATACATATACCATCTGCATGTTTCACACCTGTACTATCCCTGTCCACCATTAGGGGGCACTTTACAGCACTGTGAAGTCCCCTGGGTTTTCTCACAAAATACCCACTCATGGACTAGTACTACGTTTTCTTGACTGCTTTTGATGTCTCCACTGTAGATTTATTCCATGCAAAAATCTCTATATTCTGTGCTTCTGTCTAGCTGCATGACAGTATATTGCCTCATATTTTGGAATTCTGACATGCAGCAAGGACAACAATCACCTAGTCCAACCAGGTAGTACCCTGCTTAATACGCAGTGTGAAATTTTGTATTAATAGTATGTGATAATATGAACTTTATGCTGTAAGCTTGACAGATAGTATGCACTGTTTGGCCTTTTAATGGTAGCCATGGCAACTTGATTTTATTTAACCTCTATTCTTTTGATTCAAGCTGGGATATTTCATGTATATTTTCAGTTATTTACCCGCTAGGCTAATGTGTTATGTAAAATTTTGAATATTTTTTTTACCTCTGCTAACATCCTATTTGTTCAACTCAATCCCTATGCACAATAAATATTTAAGGTTAAATAGCGTACACTTATTACAGTATCTATAAACACTGTGTTTTAAACACTTTTCTTTGATATTGCTCTGAGGTGCTCAAGTATGCATTCCCTCAAGGGCCTAATGGTACTCCCACATACTTTAATCTAAGGAGATATCTGACTGTCATTCTGGGGTCAAGAAGGATTTTTTTCCTAGTTTGTTGTAAAATTAGAAGCACTTCAAAGCATTAAAAAGTATGCCATTGATAAACTATGTGGATACACAAGTTCAATACATATAGTGATAAGGGTCTTAATATTAACTTAGACATTATAGTTTTCATGTGATGATAGTAAATCTCTGTTTTTCTAATTTTTCCTTTCCCCTTTTTTATTGATAATATTTTTATTGATATTTTATTGATATATTGTTTTTGAGGAGATGATGAGCATTATTAATATGGATTATTTTTATATGTGAATCATTTCACTATGTAGTATTTTCATTTTTATTTTAATACTCATTTATTCTATATTTTAAATGTTTTATTATTCATATTGTTTGTATTTTTTTTAAATTCTTTATTTTTGCAGGTGGTGCTACATGACAGAGTCAGAGAAAACATAAGTACAGACTGAAGTCACGTTGACTACTTTCTCATAACATTGTAGACATTTTATGTACACCTGTTTTTTGATATGTTAGATTGGGTCAAGTACTTTAATAACAACGTCTCTCATAACAAACATTTACTAATAACTCATATTCTGGCCAACTGGGTTTGTTACTGCGACCCGTGGTCAGGTGTAAGTGGCCCATCTAGCTATCATCTGGTGCGCGTTATAAAGTCGGTCTCTAAAACATGTTGTAAACTGAAGTAAGAACAAGAATAAGGGAGACCAATAAACTTCAACAAAGTGAGCTCTACCACAGTGCATTTAACATGTTGGGCTAGCTACCGTTTGTTATGTCAAGGCACTTGGTTCAACCCTGGGTTGTAGAGGTCGAGCAGAACCCTTAACCTATGGGATGGCGGAGGGGGGGAGGGGGATATAATGGTCTAGCCATCGGTTGGAGCCTTTGTTGCCATTTGTCAAAATGTAGCACAGACTTCCTTGGAGTTAAATAACTAAATAACTGGTTAGATATACATGTTGCATAGTGGGGGAGAAAGAGAGTATGTGACAGTAATGCTGATGTTTTGTTCCCTTATGTCACAGCATCTAGTCCACTTCTTGGTGTGGAGGGGGTTATATTATCAATGTCCCAGATGCTGGTGGTGGCCTGTGCCCTCTGCTCTCACTGGCCAATTCCCTGTCCAATTGCTGACAAGAAGTCCAATTGCTGCCTCTGCCATGTCAGTGGTCTTGTGTAGCTGGCTGTCTTTGGTGACTATAAGGGCTCTATGAGTAGTCCATTTAAACGGTATTCCTGCCTCTTGAAGCCGTAGTGGGTTTCATAGTTTTCCTCCATAGCAAGATGGAGTGGTGCAGATCTTGGAAGATCAATATTTTATGAAACTCAAAGTCCAGAGGTGAATTATTGTGAACAGCCCTCATCAGTGCTTGGTTGTCTTGTCCCGCAACATAAGATTATGTCCCTTGGGGCCGTAGCTGGTACCTTAGGGGATTTGGTGATGCAGTATGCGCCATCATTTATGAATTGTTTGGCTTGTTTTGCTGGGAGCAAGGTATTCACTACCCTCCTGATGAAGTGAGGTAGCTCTTCTGTCCACACTTTGTCCAGGACCTCCTTTATCTTCAGGTTTTTCTGGCTGGTTCTCTCATCCAGGGCGTCCACTCTCAGTGTCAGGGTGGATTGGAGAGCTTGCAGCTGCCTGACCGAGTTTCCCATTACAGCAAGGTTGCATTGTATGTCGGTGATATCAGTTTCTGAAGTTTGGACGCGGATTGTGACTGCCTGTACTTCCGACTGTACCGCGACTATGTTGGCTGCGAACAGCTGCTGGATTTTGACAAAGAGGTTGTCTATGTCATGTTTTGTCACTGGGACCATGCTTGCTGAAGTAGATGGGGCTGGGAGTCTAGCTGTATGAGACCCTGGAGCGTCCACCCTCCCCCTGCCTCCTGAGAATTAGAGGCCTCAGCAACGGCTTGGCCCTGCCCCCTGTGCTTGGGTGTGTGTTGGAGCAGTGTGCCAACGTCTTGAGCTCTCCCTTGTGTTTGTACCTGGGGTTTTTTGGTCTTCTTGCGGCTCTTGGATCTGTGTCTCCCGGGCTTCGGGTGTAAACCAGTCCTGGTCCCACCAGGCCTCAAAGGCATTTGTCATGGTTTTCTGGCTGGCCACGTGGGAGGCCCTGTGGGGCCGGCGTTTTTGTTCCATGCCCGGTGGCTGAAAGAACAGCATCAGTGTATGCCTCTCCCTCTCCTGCAACAGTTGCCAGGTTGCTCCCAGGTGAGTCGATGTTTAGCAGGGATGGTGATAGATGGCAGATTTTACTGTTAAATTAGCTCCCGGAATGACGTCTGTGCTGGATCGCCTCTAAGCTCCGCCCCCTATATTTTATATCTAATATGTTTTATTACAATTTAATTTTTAATCTTTTCACATATTTTTCAAATTGTATTTTTGTTTTTCCTTTTAATTTTTTTATTTTTCTTCATCTTTTATATACATTTTTTTCTTCTTTTTTCATTATTTTGTCTTTTCCTTCTTTTTTTAATTTTCCTTCTTTTTTCTTATTTTTATTTTTCATTTTCATTTTTCCAGGATTTCAATCTTTTTATTTATTACTTTTTCATATTTTTATTTATTTATTTTTTACTATTTTACTTTTCTACTCAACTATATGTAATTCTCAGGTTGCTAGCAACATGTTTTTTTAATCTCAGAATATAATGTCACCACGGGTAATGAGAGCATGTGTTACAGGACTTGTAAAGCAAGTTTCTAGAAGACAACAACCACTAATTTCAAAAGTCCATTTGCTGAACAGCAAAATAGACACAAGCAAATAATAAAAAACTAAACACCTTTATTAATATTATGCAAAATAACTCGAATTCAAGAAGGTGAATTTAAAAAGAAGTTCAAAAGCCAGCTTCTTACAGATCGTGAAAACATTCAAGCACTTTAATATAAACAGAGTAGTACATTGAAGCCAAAAGTCAATTTGGTTTAGCTCTATCAGAAAAAACTGACTATCAAACAAAGCACTAATATATATCCTTCCAAGAGTGGGGCAGTTTATCAGTATCCACTTACGAGTTGCCCTGTGGACTAACGGTATACAATATAAAGGTAAGTGTCCCCAAGCAGGGCAAATGAAAACAGACTGCAAGGGGACAAGATGTGCATGTTAGAGAAGGTTAGTTTATATCTAAATATTTTACAATTAATCCATAATTTATGTATAAATTATGTGTTCTATACATAGGGGACAGGTTATTAATGATAAAGCAACCCTCACACCCTTGTAACACCAGTGTTACTTACACACACATTCAATCTCTAATACATCCTTGTTGATTTTATCCGATCAACTATTCTTGCCAATTATACAATGCAATGGGAGCTTGAACTAGGAGTTTCTTTTTCTGTAGCACAAAGGTAAACAATGTTTATTCATGTTCACAAATGTTTGATTTCATGGAAAATGCAGGAAACAGATTTAAAATACCTACCATTCTACACCATATAATTCCAGCTGTTACAGGTAGATGCTGGAGCTTGGGGACTCAGAAGGCAATAACTACCATATTTGGTGGTTGTGCCCTAGGCTAACATTTTATTGGAAAACTATTCAGAGTAACTATTCAGTAGCGGTAGATCTCATTGGACCCCTGAGTAAGCCTAGTCCCATCGGGAAAGAGGTACATTCTAACCATGGTGGTCTATGCTACTCGGTATCCCTAAGCAGTGGCCCTCTCTAATATCCACCCTAAGCTCGTAGCCAAAGTCTCTATCCCCCATTTGTTGTTTGCATATAGGGAAGTCCCCCAGGAGTCCACAGGGTTTTGAAGTATTGTATGGGCAGATAACATTTGGAGGGAGACATTGGGCAGACAGGTACCCATATGTCCTGGAACTGCAGGACGGTCTGCAGGCTCTAACCAAGTGTGATTGAGAGAATTTGCAGGTGGCCCAGCTTAGCCAGAAATGTTGGTATGACCGGGGAGCTAGAGATCGTATTCTAGAACTTGGACAAAAAGTTCTTGCCCTTGGACCCACAAAAGCTGATGAGCTCCAAACCGAATGGCAAGGGCCTTTCAGGATAGTGGAGCACATAAGTGATACAACCTATATAGAAGAAAAATGTTAGATGTTATAGATTTGTGCAAGTGGTATTGGCAGATCCCCCTGGAGCCTGAATCAATCCCAGGGTCAGCATTCGTCACCCCATTCAGCCAATACCAGTTCAAGGTTATGCTGTTTGGGATGAAGAATGACCTCACCACTTTTCAGCGGATGGCCGATCGGCTCTTGGAGGAATTATAGGATTTCAGGATTTCACATGTGTATACCTGGATGATATTGCCATATTCAGCAGCACATGGGAAGCCAATCTTGAACACGTCTGTAGTGCTCAACAGAATTCCAGTTGTTGGTCTAGCCTTAAAACCCGACAATGCCACGTCAGGACGGCTGAGGTCCAGTACTTTGATCACTGAGTTGGTTCAGGCAAATCTACCAAACACTGACCACCCCCCTGGTTCATTAACTACAAACTAACCACAAACTTAAGTGCTCTCTGTGTGCTGTGGAAAACAGCTGCCATCTTGGCTCCTGGACATAGGCAGCGACACTTGGTCATCAAGCTTCTGGAACTCGAATTCGGATACATCCACGTGCGAACCTTGGTGATTTTGTGCAGACACCTGCTTCTGTTCCCGACAAGACAGGATGGCGCTGTTGAACCCTACCGAACACTGACCACCCCCTGGCTCATTAACTACAAACTAACCACAAACTTAAGTGCTCTTTGTGTGCTGTAGAAAACAGTGGCCATCTTGGCTCCTGAACGTAGGCAGCAACACTTGGTTGTCAAGCGTCTGGAACTCGAAGTCAAATACATCCACATGCAAACCTTGGTGATTTTGTGCCAATGCCTGCTTTCATTCCCAACAAGACAGGAGAGTGCTGTCGGTCGGAATGTCCCCTATGAGCCAGGGGAAACGTTAGTGTATTTTCGTATGGGAACTCCCGAAAGGTAACCGGCCAAAGTAACCAAAGGCCCTGGAACTGTTTGTTTTGGGCATGTGACCACGTGTGTGGCCAGTTAAAACGTTACCCCTGTGGCGATTCGGCTAGAATCCATGGATCTGAGTACTATTTGGACAACTTGGGTGCTAATATCCAGGCTACATGGGGATATAATACTTGTGGAGATTTATATTAATATTATATGCATTTTGGGGTGTTTAGTGTAATATTTTGTAACTCTAGTGCCTGGGAGATAATTAGTTTTTATAAAAGCAAGCTCACTTATCTCCCAGACACAGAGGCGCCTGGGCAGGATTACTGTACAAATGAATGGAGACCCCCATGCTGGGAGTCTGTGTATATAAACAGGTCACTGAGCCATAATAAAACATTCTTCTTGTACCATTCATCAAGGTTTATGTAGAGCAGAGCTATAATTACTACTTCACTTCGGGACTCGGGAGACTTACAACGAATATACTCAGTCAGAGTATAGGGGATCCGTTACACTCCCTTTCCAATTTTAGCACTTTAGATGTCACAACTCTGTTGCATAACAAAGCATATTGGTTGTTGGAAGGTTTAAAGCAACATGGATCTCTGCAATTCTCCTTGTACAACCCAACAGCAGTTGTCTTTCAGCAATGCACTTCCTGTAATGTTGTGCCAGGGAATGACATCCCTTTATTGCACTTCAACAAAAACTAAAGGGTACACGTTGTTATAAGAGATGCATAGTTTTTTGTATCACACATACACAAAATCTAAAATCAGCAGTTTGCATTAAACATAAAAATACTGTTTATCCATTGGAACAATTTTTGCATTTTATATTTATACTGAAAACTGAATAAATGGGGACATGCTATAGACTCCCTTCTCATTTCACAGATAACAAATGAAACTACATGGAATACCTTGTTCTCCAATTTGCAAAACACATATGGCAGTAAGGAGGCAGTTCCAGATACTGTCCAATTACATACTTCTCCTGAACGAGATCAAAGTTCAGGTCCAATTCCACCCTTGAGTCATAATATTTGCTAAGTTATCTTAAAACAATTAGTAAATAAGAAGGGTGGAAAAAATCCATTCCCTTATCTAGTCTCTTCTATACACCCCTATGTCTCTCCCTTCTTCTGATGCAGTCCATTCTATCAATCCCTTCCTACAATTGTCTTGCACTTTGAGACCATTAGTCTCCTGTTCTGTTTACTCTATACTCTATCTAACCACCACTGTCAGCAAACTCTTGGTGTCCCTTACCTGTCTCCTCATTTAACACCCTCATTATTTCCTTCTAGAACTACTTTGCATAGTTTTCTCTTTGTACTACCCCTGACTATCACAAAAGATGTGACAAAAGTTTAGTTGGGGAATTACTTTTTCAAAACAGTTATTTTAGCCTATATTTTGTTATTCTTAGGTAATTTTCTCAAATTTGGTAGTTTATCTAACAACACTGAGATATACCTACTCGAATCTGTGCAGAAAACATTTTTTTATCATACACAATGATCGCCAACTTAGTTCCAAATTTTTAGACAGGACAACAAATATTTAAAATAAACCCCTTAGAAAGTTTTCTGTACAGATCAGTATGTGTTATCAGTAAGAACATGGAATTGGTATTTATATCTGTTGTAAATCCCATCTAAATATGATCAATATACTTCTTGTAGTGACATTTTACTATAAATTATATATTTTTAATATTGCATTCTAGAAATGTATGCTCTTTTACAACATATTCAAAACTAACACTATTTGTGATTATAAAAATGATTTGCCAACACATACTTAGTTCACAAATAATGTACAAGACTTAAAACCTAGCACACACATTCTCTACTTTCAGTTCTTATCTTGTGTGAAGATAATGTAATTAATGGTTTGAAGTGTGTGTGTGTGTGTGTATGTATATATATATATACAGTTGCAAGAAAAAATATGTAAACTCTTGGAATGATATGGATTTCTGCACAAATTGGTAATAAAATGTGATCTGATCATCATCTAAGTCACACCAATAGACAATCACAGTCTGCTTAAATTAATAACACACAAAGAATGAAATGTTGCCATGTTTTTAATGAACACACCATGTAAACATTCACAGTGCAGGTGGAAAAAGTATGTGAACCCTTGGATTTAATAACTGGTTGAACCTCCTTTGGCAG